TTTTGTCGAAAAACCCTTAATAAATAAGTTTCCCATATGGTGCGTACTTTGGGGATGACACTGTATAAATGAGAAGCCATTAAAAGTCACATACTTTGCAAATATCGAAGCATCATTGAGATTTGGGGACCAAGCAGTAAAGCATCCACTTATTCACCATTCAGAAAAGAAAAATGAAATGTTTATTTAAAATGAAATATCGAGAAAATTGTAAAGGAATTTTAAAAAAAGAATGCTATTTTCACTGTGTATGCAATTCATATTGAATGTATACACAGAATACTAAAAAACATCCTTCCTATGCTTCCATATGACTTTTAAATTAATTTTTTTCTGATTGACTCAGCCATTACTTGATGAAGATCCATATAATTTTGAATTTTCACAAACTATACCTAACAATTTGATCTTCATAAACAAAATCAAGATGAAATCGTTAGGTGTAGTTTGTGAAATTTTGAATAAATTTCCTAAGGTTATGAAAATCTTGGACAATGTCAATGAATTCAAATCTAATGTAAAATCTCTCATTGAAGTAGAACAATAGAATAATTTTCAAGCTATTATTCTTAGATTTTTTGTTTGAGAAAAACACAAAACAGGTGTGAACTATCTTATGACTTGTGTAAACAAATATGTATGGCACCAGTAAAAAAAAAAGAAAACAAGAAATGAGCGGATCAATAGCCCAATGAGCCCAAAATTAATGAAACTGGTCTTAGAATGCCTTGAAGAATTGAGGAAACTGACGGACAGGAATAGATTGGCTATATTCTGGGTATCAGGACAGTCAGGTATCGCAGGCAACGAAAGGACTGATAGTGTGCCAGGATTTTCCATTAAAATAAAGTCAGTAGCGCCCTCTCAGTGATGAGTAAAGCAACAATATTGTCTTTTATATCAAAAAGTACTATAAATGATACCTCGTTATGTTCGACCTATCTTGTAATACTCAAAAGTTAAGCAGGAAATCAATATCGGTGTACCACAAGGATCTATCATAGGTCCCGTTTTATTTATCATCTTAATGAATGACATGGCACACTCCTGTCTTAATGCAATATTTATGAATGCCGATGATACAAATATACTGGTCTCAGAAACTAACACACGGGATACGGTAGCGAGGCCAATATCACCGCAAATGGATTTCATAAATGTTTATAATGAAAAAATATGAACATTATTGTTACCTATCTGATGAAAATCAATAATATAAAGCATTGAACAAGTGAATTCTATCAAATTTCTTGGAATTATTATAGACCATAAGATTACATGGTAGGAACACATCAGTTCTTGCGAGAAAATTAAGCACTATGTGTTTTATAGTTAGACAGCTACAAAGGAGAGTGTCTTTGGAAGTATTAAAATTGGCATATTATGGATTTGTCCAGTCCCTATTAACATATGGTCTGATGTTTTGAGGCAATGGGCTTGTTTCATGCTATGGAAAATGATACTGTAAAAACAGTCTTTTTCATAAAATAGCATTCATTGTAATCCTACTCCCACGTGGATATCCGGTCCACCCCGACCTCCAACCGGCGTGAATGGGAGCACTATTTAAATAAAACCACTAAAACGATGTTTACAATAACTTTTTTAACTTTTGCTTGCATGTTATAACGGCGGACATACACAACATGAACTGAGTTCCACTTCCAACAATGGCGTCCGCGTACCTTCTTTGTGAACGGTCGCTATCGGCACGTCCGTCCACCCCCATGTCAGAAAAGAAACTCTGTGAAGTTAGCTACCAGATCCTGATGCTATATTTTCCGAACATTGCCGAATGAACAGTGACGTATTTCTCACTTTTATCGGTCTAAACTTTGTCGTATAGACCTGTCCGAGATGCTGTCAAAATTAAATCAAAATGGCCGCCTGTAGGCACACGTTTGTTCTACCGTGCGTTCCACTAAGCGTTCACAACGCCTAAAATACTCATTCAGGCGTAAAATACTCATTCAGGCGTAAAATACTCATTCAGGCGTTCCACATGGCGACCGCGATCGTTGTGGTCGCGGCGAAAACGTCATTAATGACGTCATTACTTATGCTCACGCCTAGCTCACGACGACCCATCTCAAGAGGTGGGTCGATGTGAGTGTTTTGAGAAACTGAGCGCAATTTTTAAAACTAAAAGCAACAAACATGGCGACAACAACAATATCGTTCTATTGTGCCGAACGAGATCTCAAACTTTCTCCTGCAGATGCTGAACGTGTGTTAAATAAAAAAGGGTTTAATTTTATACTTGTGAATTATGGTATATAATGGAAAGAAAACTAGAAAAGTCCACAATCAACTTGTCTTTGAGAGTGATTGTGTTGCTGCTTGCTGAAATTCGTTGTTTGAGGCTGATTTTACATATCAATCATCCTTCATAACATGAAATCACGCCTACAACGTGTCGTGTTGTAAATTGCGGAAGCCTTGGGGATCGTGATCGGGTGAACTTTTACAAAATACCTAGTGAATTATTCTCCCAGTCAGACGAGGAAGTCAGTTTCAATACACATTCCTTGAACAAATGATCCACAATAATGGTGATTTTAAAAAAGTAATTACTTTTGAAGAGTCAAAAATCAATTAACATGAAATAAAAAAACACTTGAAAGAATAGGTATATGGTGAAATTCAGCATTGAACATGAAAGCCACATGCAAAAACTGTTTACTGGGCCTGCACTCTAGAATTGGTTGATATATTCCAGGCCATACAGTACAGTAGCAACGTGACTGCAAACTTCAGAATGGCCTTTCTTTGGAAGATTCTCTCATCCCTTTTTTGTATCAGATGGAGTAGTAGAAAGCCAAAAACTTTCTTTCCCAAAAAAGAAGACCATGTTATGATTTATTCTCTCTCTCTATCTAGGTTAATGGCTTTTGCTTCCAGTGAATGCGCATGTTATGGTTCAAATATTCTTTGTTTCTGCTCAACTTTGTTCTTTAGATAGATCAGCAAGTAATTCCGTACTGTCTTAGACTATATTACTAGGATGAAGATACGTAGAAATCCTGGGGTTCAAACCGATTGGCTTTTAATTGTCGAAAACTCTCGACGCCAGAAATGAGATTGATTCAAATTTGTACCCATGTTTATAGATGGAACCAGAACGTTTATAATTGTAAATATTGGTGTGCTCAACGCCTCTGAATGGAACGCCGAAATACGTAAGAATTAAGTGCCGTAGATTGATTATTTTCGTCAAAATATTTCACATAGTGATTACGCCTTGGTATTTCTATGCATCTTGACTATAACTTATTAATGCACCATCAATGAGCGAAATTGCCTGATTTGTTTATCGTATCTGTATGAATTATCTCCTAAGAAATTGTTCCTTATGGTGTTCGTCTTGGTATTATATATGCACACTTTCAGCAACCAACTGTTAATAGGATATTAGTGAACCGCATTCATAGTGACCCAATGTAACTCTCTACATGAACATTACTCCTTGTCAAATATCCATGGTGTCGATTCGCGGTAGAAAAAGTCCGCGGTCTTCTTGGGTTTTCCACAATATTTATAACATCTATCTCATCTTCCTCTTCAAATATTTCAAATATGTCCGTTATGAAAACATGAAAATATCTGGACGCGTCAAATATTTATAGGTTATAATACATGAAGTTAAACTCCCAATGGCAGTCACAAACACCTATACAACGAACTTTATTCGTTAAACCAAAGTTTAACCAAGACTTGTGGTTTAAACTGAACCTATATAAGTGGGCCTAAAGGCGAGTTCATATTAGAACTTTGCAATAATTTTCCGAAAATTTGCCTCAATTGTCAAAATACCCTGTTCATGTTGAAGCGGGCAATATCTAGGGATTTCATTGTTGAATTTTGAATTTTATTACATAAACCTGAATGATGTCATACGACTCATACGAATTACGACTTTCAAGACCAGACCCCATCATATCAAAATATAGGATTAACAATTTTCTCAAGTTTTGTTTAATAGAAGCGTGTCCTCAAACCACTTATCTTAACGTTACTGCCTGCAGGGGCGAGGGGTTCTTTTGCAAAATGAGTTTTCTTTAATGAGGGGCCAACAATAAGTCAATAATTTATTGAATAATGAGAGAGTGAGCCTGAAATAGTTGAAATTTTCTCTGGATCACTAATTCTCATTTATTTCAGCCACAAGATTGTGATATTCTCCATATTTTCTTCTATTTTTGAAAATATTTTTCACTATAAAGATGGGGTTTTCTCAATGAAGTTTTTTACGGTAAAGTTGATATAATTTGAACAACCTGACACATTCGTCCATTTCGGATTCAATTTCGATGTATGGGCTTAAAAAACGGGAGTCGAAGCAATATAACTACCTTGTATGTTGACGTATAACATTTTGCAGAAATCGCAAAAAAGTTCAATTTTTTCAACTTTTTTACAATAAACACGACGCCATTTTAAATCACACTTTTTATGCGATGTTCGTTCCAACATGAACTAGCCTTTAGACCTACCTATAAGGATGTCCAGAACACGTGACCAATTCTCGAACAATATGGCCGCCTGTAGGCACACAATGAGTACAATGACATAGGTACTTCACGGTTTTTTCGTGTTTTGTTATCTTTGGAAGCTGTAAAAATAATTATGATGGCTGTTTGTAATAAATGGGACTTTTGACTAGCACTGTATAGGCACTCAGGAATTTTTAAATTAATTATCTAGTGCTGCATGTTTGTATTATGCAGGGCAAAACTGAAAGTGACCATCATGATCTATATTCTTGTGATAATAGTCTTCATGTGACATTTGTTAATTTTCAAGACCTTGAATTATATTTTGATCAACTGATTGATTTAAATAAAAACTTGAACATTTTACCTGATGAAATACTAGCAATAATAGGTCTAACAGGATGCCAAGCAACATCTAAAAGCAGTTCTCCCTTGGTGCCATGTAGTATCTTGACTAAATTCCCAACAGCCATTTCCCATATATAAAGAGCATGTTGCCTTGTTGAACCAGCACAAATATACTCGCCGTCACCAGAAAAGCAACATTTTTTCCACATTGTTCTGAAAGGTAGATATAAGATTCATGAAAATGTTTGAAATATTGAAATATTTTATTAAAGAAGTTCAAAATCAGATTACTTTTTACTGTAAAAAAAAAACACTTTTCCCACAAGATTCAACTACACATTTCTTGACGCAACTTTCAGTAACCATCATCATCAGATGATCTAAACTTTATAAGTAAATGCAAATATTTGAGAAAAAAAGTAGCACCAGCATAAAAAAAAATCGATTTTTTCAAAAATGTTTTCCTACAAAAATTTGTTATTCAAGATATTTAATGGAAAGTCGCCTTTTGTGTTCCTTGTAAGCTATAATTTTTTCAAATCGAAGTATTCAGTATGAACTTTTTTTTTAATTAATAAAATTTTTTCAATTGATACTACCCAGTATTTATTAGGTGGAGTAATCTTCTTTCAGATGGTGCGAAAGAAAAGTAACATATGAAATCGCCAACATATGAAATCCATATAAATAAAATAGAAATAACTCAGATAAAATTTTTAAGAAATCTAGCTTATAAATTGAATATACTTTTAACTGAAACCGCTTCGAGAGAAGTTTGTACTATANATATTTCATTTGTTTTACATGTTTTCATTTATATGTTCATACCATATTTTTCATATAATGGGGGTGTATTCGTACATGAATGAATCTGCATGCAGATTCAAATATCAAAAAAGCTTCAATAGTAGTTCACTCACTTATTGACTAAATCTTGAAGCTTTTGCATTGGTTCGGGTTCTCCATCTTTTCCATATGTCAAGACTTCCTTACTGTCGTACACTCTGATAACTCTGTCTGCAGTGTTAATCAGAAAATAACTGAAAGTTAAATAAATTCAATTTAGACTTATTTTTCTTAAATAAGAATAAAATATTTAGTACAATAGAAAATAAATGTACTTGAATATTGCTTTGAGAATATTTTATAAAGAAACCATCTAGCAAATGTCATAAGGACCGATAAAAATTATACGCTTAGTTGAAACTACTTACTCTCCCCTTCGAGCAAACTCAATACTTCTTACTGCAGTTGCACTGGAAGAGCCCAAAATAATTCTGAAGCTTGCTTTCACTTCCAAAGTGTGAGAATCTAGCACTAAAACTTTACCTTTGGCATTTCCTGTATAAACATTTTCACCTCTTCTATCAAATGATGCCACAATGTTTAGATCTCCCTAAAATTGAACAATATATAAATAAAATAGATTAATAATATTCATGATGATTACACTTCATTTTCAAATTATTTAATCTTCTGTAATAAAGCATTTCATGATAGAGGTTCTCAATTAAATGATATTGAACTTACAACACAACATGAAACACACATGAAATGACATGTGGTGTGTAATAATAAATTAACCATTTTGAATTGAAAGACTTTATCAGGTTTATTAAATCAACTCATGAGAAGCCATTAAAACAGCTATGTATACAATACACATACAAGTGATATGATTTTTGAAAACAAATATGACAGAATTAAACCTCAACTAAGAAAGAAGTTGAATATATATCAATCCTTATAATACATATTTATGTAAAAATGAAATATTTACTATCTAAAAAGACTAGGTTTTGTTTATTGACTGTGCTTAGATCTTCCTGTCCTTTTCAAAACATATTATTCTTTTGTTCGTTTGCCCCAGAGCGCCAATTCATTTTTGTTGTTGTTTCACAATTTCATAACTTGTATTACTTTCTTTTTTTATATGTCTATCATTAAAACTAATGTCTTTTACTTTTAACCATCTTATTATTTATTGTATATGTATTTTTTACCAATAGTAATTAAAATATTTTCCAAAACTTTCGAACTATTCAAACAATGGAAAAACTATTGCTGTCAATATAACCAATTGAAGACTAGAAAACAAACCAAATGAAATGCATTTACATGTTTGACACTAATTCCAGTAACGAAATATTTTAGTTAAATGTGAAATGAGTACATATTTCAGTTGTGCTCAACCAATTGAAGACTAGAAAACAAACCAAATGAAATGCAATTACATGTTTGACACTAATTCCAGTAACGAAATATTTTAATTAAATGTGAAATGAGTACATATTTCAGTTGTGCTCAAAACTAAAACACACTACTGTGAAATTCAATAAAAAAATAAATTACAATAATTACCCAGTTTCAAAATTGTGAAATAAGGTTTCAACAACAGGCTTTATTGCTGACTGGAAAATAATGGAAACTATTCTGAACAACTATTGTAATAACTTTTTTGAAATATTCATTATTTTATTGCAAATTCTTGCAAAATATTTTTTCGAAACAAATTCAATTTGAAACATCTAAAAAATAAAAAATTATCAAGTAAAAATTCAATGGCATATTTTTATTCACTATAACATTTTTTTTATATTTGATGTAAGGTAAGAAACACCATTTTTAGATTTTTCAAAACCTAACGAAATAAATTTTAAAAAACCAAAAAAAGCTGTTGAATTCAGATTTTGAACAGTTTCAAAATAGTATATCAAGTGACCCTTGATCTCTCTTTATATATTCTCTTTTAGTTGAAGATATGGAGTTGGGCAAAATGGTTCTCGCTCGAAATAAAAATCACTCTGCATTTTTTGGTTGTCGACCAAAGTTATCAAAGTAACTACGGCAAAAATTGGACTATGAGACCGTAATAACTAAATAGTGTTGCATTTATTTTTCTTTCAACAAATAATTGATTTGGAAAGGTTCATTATATGGTAAATGTACTTTTTATAGATGAAACAACAGCGAATATCAAATTAACTCACATCTTCATCAATTGGTAAAACCTGATGCACACCATTAGTATCAACAAGTATAGCAGCATGTTTCATAGGGCAAACCAAGAGACGTTCCAGAGATCTAGGTTCGAATTGAACCTTCAAAACTGGGCATGGAAACCTGTACTTTTGTTCGCACTCTCCTGATAGTATGTTCCAAATACAAACAGTGTTGTCAGTAGATGCAGAGGCTATTTTGTGTCCATTTCTTGACCAACTTATACTACAAACTGGATGTACATGGGCAGATATGATTTTAGCTATTCCTCTGGTTAAAAAATCCCATATTACAATGCGGCCATCATTACAGCCTACTCCCAGAAGTGTTCCTCTTTTATTAAATGCACATGTTACGGCAATGGATTGTGAATCAAGAGTTCCATCGAACTCCTAAAAAGGTATACATATTAATTAATATTCCAGCAACTTGCTGTGAACCTACCTCTGGATAGTTCTGTCCAAAAGATTCTGAAATATAAGTATAGGTATTTTAATGAGTATCAACAATTGATTAATCTGAACGTATGACGTAGATGATGGATACTTGCAGAATTAGGGCAATTACATTATGAAGAGAGTTAAAGAAAGGAGATGTTAGCTAATATATCATGGACGGATCAAGAAGACGGGCAAAATCGATAAATCATGGAAGATCATGATTGGGAAGATATCGAAAGTGATGCTGCCAGTGAATATAGTGAACACAACACTGAATAATCTGATCCAGATGTTGAAAATTTTGTAAGATTGACAAAAATATTTCATATAGCTCTAAACATCATTTTACTGAAAAAGGCAACATACCTATTTCAGGTAATTAATTTTATTAGATCATTTGTGTCTGCTTTAGGCTATGTTTACATAATTTGTATCAATAATTGAATATGAGAGATACATACACAGTGTTTCTTTTTGTGGTGTTCAAATCGTTGCACAAGTTTATTTTTCTTGTATACCTTATACTCGCAGTTTAATTTACAGTTTGTATTATAAAATAAACCCTTCCATATCACCTATATTTTTGTTTCGTTTCCATTTTGGAGTTTGAGTGACGCAGAGTTAATTGAGACAGTCAGTAAATCATTCAGTATTTCAATCTTGATAGAATATTTTGGGCAGTGCTGAATCCATTATTTCAACATGATCAAAATATTTCGATACCAGAATCTAAACTGTCAGTACCATTTCAGTTACATTTTCAGTACATTCAGTACTCAATTGATTAATTCAGTTAGTTGTTTAGAAATCACAGTCGTTAGAGTTTAGATTGTACACTTGTCAGTGTACTGACTAGATAAACAGAAAACGATATATGAAATGACATTCGAAACAAAAGTTGAAATAAATGGATGATAACTGAAATATTTGAGTATAATGGAAAAAATACAAGATTACTAAGAGTCAGTTTTCAATATGTTACCGAAATAGGTAAAAATCCAGCTCTAGCTGACTTCAATGAAAAATATCCGAACTATAAATTGAAAACTCCCAAATACGAAGATTAAGTTTCCAAGTTGATTCTTAAAATGAAAATAAAAATCAGGACTTTGCTAAATTCGAGCAAAAACTCTCAAAATTATAGCGAACAAGTGAACAGTACCCTTGAGTTTCTCAAGTGGTTTTCCATAAAAGGAATTTTCTCAGCATAATTCAAATGTGCAATTTCACGCCTACATACAAGAATGGGAATGAGCATAAAGTAGAAAATTACTGCCCTTTTTCAGAAATTACAAATTTTGTTAAAATATTCTTAAAACGAGAATAGATAAATACTTAAAAAAAAAACAAAACCACATCCAACAACCAATTCGGGATTCAAAATGGAGAAATCTACCCTAGATGCTTCAATATCCCTATCGAATGAGGTCAATACCCGTATCAATGAAAATGGACTCTGCTCATGTATTTTTGCCAATAAACAAAAAATCAAATATTCAGGGGATATGTAGATGACGATTTAAATTGGGAAACTAACAACAATGATCTCACGTAAAAACTATATTTTGTCACTAACAAATTAGCAAAATAAGAGTATATCTTCAGATAAATCAAGTACATGTTTATATTTGATGCTATTTGAAAGCATTATTTCATGTGGAATAGTTTCGTCGGGTTCTGCAACCTCAAGCCAAATGAAACTATTGACACAATTTCAAAAAGAACTTTGAAAATTATCTATCAAAAGAACAGAACATATATAACTGACACCTTATACGAAGCTATTTTTAAAACAACCACCAGATAAATAGATGTACTGACTACAGGAATTCGATACATAGTAAATAACAAATACTAATATGTGATAAATTCCTACTCTGTAAAGAACATATATCTATATATCTCCATGATGTGATTCAATTCATTCAATCAAACAAAATTTGAAAATATGGAAACTAAGATTGCCAAAATTCAGGTACAATATGTCAACATAAAAAAATATATATTACCAACCAGAAAATTCAAGGGAATATACTCATATAGATATCTATCATCGTTTCAGATACAGCATGTTTTTCTAAAATGTGCATTCTTGAAAAGTTGCTGTAACTTTTTTCTGTCAAAAATTTCTTGTTTCTATGAAAACATTTCCAAAACACTTTTAACTGACAAGAGGATTTTGAAAAAACACTAATTCAAGCCATTCAGGACCAGAGCAGTTCATCAACTCAAACCAGGAGATTTTGAATGCTGCATGGCTTTTTGCCAGTGGTTCCTGGAAAGTTGTAACCGAGTGCATTATTTTTTGTTATATATTGTATTTCGACAGACGAAGCTTATAGGAGCAGTGCCGGCATTTTCAACCGCTACAATTCTTATACTGGGGCACAACAAAATTCTTATTCTATTGTGGATCAGAGAAGTCGAGAAAGATTTGGATTTAGTGTGTGGGCAGGTATTTTCAGGGATAGAATTATAGGCCCAATAATTTATGATGAAGTATTTATAAATTTTAAGGCAAAATATTGGACCCCTTGTTGATGAATTGCCACTGATAGAGCTCAGAAAAATATATTTTCAATAGGACGGGGCTTTGCCTCACAACACTGCAATTGTCATCAATTTTTTGGCTGTAAATTTTGGTATGAATCCAATCGTTGGCCGGCCAGGTCACCGGACCTAAGGCCTACGGACTTTTACCTCTGGGGAAGGCTGAAAGAAAAGGTGTCGCTTGTGTGTAAGAGAAGCTGGTAGATATTTCAAACACCTTCTCTGAAGAAATATATTTAATTGTTTGTTCTTTATCATTATTTATTTATTTTATTTACAAACTCTTCAGATCATGGCCCAGTTATAGAGTAGGAAAGGTAAATATCACAAATAGATTTGTGCATACAACAAAATGACAAAAAAGTTATAAAAAAATAATATTTAACAAGAGTTATACAATTTCATACAAACCATTTCTAAAACTAGTAAAATTTTGGAAGAAGATACCACAGTCATTTTGTACATTATTATAGGCATTGCACATAGCATTTAATGGGGCATTTTGATAATAATTTATTTTTGCCGATTCATTATATAATGTGCGAAACGATCTAATTTTATAAGCAGGTACATTTTAATTGATTTTTGATAGAAGACAGGGATCATCCATATCACTATGTATCATCTTGTACAAGTATATTAAGTATGCAAATACTCTTCTTTTCTCGATGGTTTGTATGTTGTACTCTTCAAGTAGCACTACTTTGGAAATATTAAGGTCATAGTTACCTGTTTATTTGAAGTGAAGATATCTCAGGAATTTTTTTTGAACTCTTTCAATGCTATACTTCTGACAGTTATATTTAGGACACCAGATAATGGAAGCATATTCCAAAATGTTTCTTATAAGAGTGATATACAAATGTTTGATGCAGGTAATATTGTTGAATTGCCTAGAGTTGCGAAATACAAACCCATAAATCTTTGAGGCATTGTTTGTTACATTCAGTATATGAGATCTAAATGATAATTCATAATTAAAAGTAACACCAAGATCTGTTATTTCTCGAGTTCTGTTGAGTTTTATACTGTCCATCTCTTAGCTGTATGTTATACTGACTTTTCATTGGTAGAAGGTCATAGTATTACACTTTTGAACGTTGAATAACAATTTGTTCTTTTTTGACTATTCACCAATGTTATTTATATCGTTTTGTAGATGTACACAATCTTCAACTGTTGATATTCTCTAAAATTTTTTAAGTCATCTGCAAACAACAAATAGCAAGATGATGTGTAATTTTTACATGACTGTTTATAAAAAAATAAATAACAAAGGACCCAAGTTGGAAACCTGGGGAACTCCAGACGATGCAATAAATGGACTGGACTTATGCCCTTTCACTATCACACTTTGTTTTCGATTAGATAGATATGAACTGAAAAATTTCATCAGGTTGGGATGAAAACCAAAATCATATTGTAGGGTTCTTAGAAGAATTGGATGTGAGACTTTATCAAAAAAACTTTAGCAAAGTCGGTGTATATAATGTCCACTTGAGCATGACTATCCCAGTTTTCAGCTATTAATTGGGAAACATTATTATTATTATCGTAGATTCATTCATTAGTAGTAAATATAGACGATATAGTCTAGATCTTGAAAGTAATACAAATTATGTAATTACGAAACATATAATATAGTGTAAATTGTTTTCAGATTTATTGAAACTATGTGTTTCAATAACTGCTGTAAAAAACTTTCTCAACATTTGATAGCTACTACTGAACAATTTCTTTCTGTTTTATCACCATGCCGTCCAAAGCCTATTTGTGCATTTCAAAGTGTTCATGAAAAAACAATTTGACAGGAACAAAGTTATAGCAACTTCTCGAAAATGCATATTTTTGAAAAACATGCTGTAACTCAGAAACAATGATAGATATCAGTTATCTATCTAGTTTTGAAAACATGAGTTTCCCTTTATAAGTGTCCAATTTGGCCCACTCAGTACATTCCATTTTTTGTAAATGATAATGAGGTACTGAAGTAAATACTAAAGGATTGAAAGAAATAATGACAAACTGAAATGAGTATTCAGTTAGTGAAACAAATACTGATTTACTGAAAACAAAATGAGTATAATTATAACCAAAATTCAGTATATGTTTCTATTTGCTTCAGTATCTTATGTGCAATTATCCTGTACAAATATAGAAGTTGTTAACTCTTCTCTTTCAATAGGTAACAACAATATTAACCAACTTGAACACTGCTACTAGTGACTGGTATATGGTGTAAACCTCAGGGTGGATTCCTGAACCTGTGTATTCAGTTGTAAGAATTCGTGTTTTCTGTTTGTTACTACTGAAAATTTAAGACCTGTGCACATATATTTCATAAGTGAGTACCCATTTTTGATATATCTATGATGGAGCATGAATGATGTCACTGAAAATTAATGAACCAACATCTTTTAACTCATTACACCTTGCAAATTATGACTTGGGTGGTGCTTGGATCCACCCCTTTCCTTCAGTCTTCAATTGAAGCCAAGCTAAATATGAAATGATGTTGAAATTATTTCCAAGAGAATATTCCGACAAAAGTAAAATCATTAATCACATATTAAAAGAAATTTTCACTTACCTAATAACTCCAAGTTCATATTAAATAAGTGTATTAATAGCGATTGTTGGGATATAAAAAATTTAGATTTATCTTCACAACAGTTTTCTGAATTATTATTTTAACTTTAGAACATTTTGCTCTTTTTCATCACTTCCTGAACAAGGATTCCCTATATAGATAGAGAGCACCTCTCTTAAATTTTTCTTTTTTATCCTACAAAAACATCTTATCCTAAAATATTCAAAAATAAAAAAAAACGAAACTTTTGAGTATAAAAATCACCAACGTGAAGTTAGCTACCAGACCCTGATGCTATATTTTCCGAACATTGCTGAATGATCAGTGACGTATTTTCTCACTTTTATCGGTCTAAACTTTGTCGTATAGACCTGTCCGAGATGCTGTCAAAATTAAATCAAAATGGCCGCCTGTAGGCACACATGTTTGTTCTACCGTACGTTCCATTAAGCGTTCACAACGCCTAAAATACTCATTCAGGCGTTCCACATGGCGACCGCGATCGTTGTGGTCGCGGCGAAAACGTCATTAATGACGTCATTACTTATGCTCACGCCTAGCTCACGACGACCCATCTCAAGAGGTGGGTCGATGTGAGCGTTTTGAGAAACTGAGCGCAATTTTTAAAACTAAAAGCAGCAAACATGGCGACAACAACAATATCGTTCTATTGTGCCGAACGAGATACTGTTGTGGATCTCAAACTTTCTCCTGCAGATGCTGAACGTGTGTTAAATAAAAAAGGGTTTAATTTTATACTTGTGAATTATGGTATATAATGGAAAGAAAAGTCCACAATCAACTTGTCTTTGTGAGTGATTGTGTTGCTGCTTGCTGAAATTCGTTGTTTGAGGCTGATTTTACATATTAATCATCCTTCATAACATGAAATCATGCCTACAACGTGTCGTGTTGTAAATTGCGGAAGCCTTGGAGATCGTGATCGGGTGAACTTTTACAAAATACCTAGTGAATTTCTGCTTGCATCCAATTGAATTAGAAGCAACAGATCCATTGCACATGTCAGGATTCATGTAGGAAGAGTAATAGGTTGCATTCGTCAAAAATATAGGATTCTATCAGATTATGTGTCAATTTGTCTGCTTGTTTGTGGTGAAGATGATACGATCTTGGATAAAATAGTGACTGTGTGTTGTGGATTGATTAATATCTGCCCACCAATAGTACCTCATTTGAGTTAGATTGAATTTATAATAAAAAACCTCATGAAATTGTTTTTGTAAATTGTATATACTTAGTCTAGATTTGTATTTTTGTTCCAACTGTTAATTGAACTTTTTTGCGATTTCTGCAAAATGTTATACGTCAACATACAAAGTAGTTATATTGCTTTGACTCCCGTTTTATAAGCCCATACATCGAAATTGAATCCGAAATGGACGAATGTGTCAGGTTGTTCAAATTATATCAACTTTACCGTAAAAAACTTCATTGAGAAAACCCCATCTTTATAGAGGGAAATATTTTCAAAAATAGAAGAAAATATGGAGAATATCACAATCTTGTGGTTGAAATAAATGAGAATTAGTGATCCAGAGAAAATTTCAACTATTATTTCAGGCTCACTCTCTCATTATTCAATAAATTATTGACTTTTGTTGGCCCCTCATTAAGGAAAACTCATTTTGCAAAAGAACCCCTCGCCCCTGCAGGCAGTAACGTTAAGATAAGTGGTTTGAGGACACGCTTCTATTAAACAAAACTTGAGAAAATTGTTAATCCTATATTCTGATATGATGGGGTCTGGTCTTGAAAGTCGTAATTCGTATGAGTCGTATGACATCATTCAGGTTCATGTAATAAAATTCAAAATTCAAAATTCAACAAGTCTTAGTTTAACGAATGAAGTTCGTTGTATAGGTGTTTGAGAGGAAGTAGTTTGTGGGTGTTTGTGACTGCCATTGTGGGTTTAACTTCATGTATTATAACCTATGAATATTTGACGCGTCCAGATATTTTCATGTTTTCATAACGGACATATTTGAAATATTTGAAGATGTATTATTTGAAGAGGAAGATGAGATAGATGTTATAAATATTGCGGAAAACCCAAGAAGACCGCGGACTTTTTCTACCGCGAATCGACACCATGGACATTTGACAAGGAGTAATGTTCATGTAGAGAGTTACATTGGGTCACTATGAATGCGGTTAACTATATATCCTATTAACAGTTGGTTGCTGAAAGTGTGCATATATAATACCAAGACGAACACCATAAGGAACAATTTCTTAGGAGATAATTCATACAGATACGATAAACAAATCAGGCAATTTCGCTTCTTCCCCAGGAAACCACTTTGAAAAGGGACAATTTTTTTCTTCCAATATGTAACAAGACAATATGTATCAAGATAATCAGTGGAAAATACGCCACTGGTCGCTCGGCAATGTTCGGAACATTTAGCAGGTGAATCTGAATCAAGCAGCCAACTTATCATTGGTGAAAAAAGGACGATATTGACAATTGACATTCGAAAGAATACTATATTTTCCAAAAATAACCCTTTCTTGACCGCTACATACCAGAATTTTTGGCAGTAGTTAACTGAAAAATATATTATTGTAGGCGACTTTTGAAACGAAACGGTTGTGTCAGCAAGCAGCAACACAATCACTCACAAAGACAAGTTGATAATGGACTCTACTAGTTTTATTTCCATTCGAACAAACATGTGTGCCTACAGGCAGCCATTTTGATTGAATTTTTACAGCATCTCGGACAGGTCTGTATATTACCTTCTTTCAAAAATGAAGTTATGTTTTATTATTGACGTGAGCAGTAAAATCACACCAAAATGTGTTTTATTTCGGTTGGAACGTGTCGATTCTGAAAAAAATGGTATCTAACATATTCACCAGTTTCCACCACAATCATATCAATTTAGTGGAAATCAAAATTTGTCATTTTTCATAGTTGGTTAGAAACGAATTACTCTCATTGATGGTGCATTAATAAGTTATAGTCAAGATGCATAGAAATACCATGGCGTAATCACTATGTGAAATATTTTGACGAAAATAATCAATCTACGGCACTTAATTCTTACGTATTTCGGCGTTCCATTCAGAGGCGTTGAGCACACCAATATTTACAATTATAAACGTTCTGGTTCCATCTATAAACATGGGTACAAATTTGAATCAATCTCATTTCTGGCGTCGAGAGTTTTCGACAATTAAAAGCCAATCGGTTTGAACCTCAGGATTTCTAGGTATCTTCATCCTAGAAATATAGTCTAAGACAGTACGGAATTACTTGTTGATCTATCTAAAGAACAAAGTTGAGCAGAAACAAAGAATATTTGAACCATAACATGCGCCTTCACTGGAAGCAAAAGCCATTAACCTAGATAGAGAGAGAGAGGGAGAATAAATCATAACATGGTCTTCTTCTTCTTCTTCTCTTTTTTTTCATGGTTTTTGCTTGCCTTCGGTGCAGTAGACCAAAAACTTGGTTCGTTCGTATAAATCTGTCTGTTTAAAATATGTTTTTCCGTTAACCAGCTGTCGCACCCCTACGAACGACAACCCTCAGAAGTCGAAACTCGTGCGAGCTAAGGATTCACGAGGTCTTACCTTTTAACGTGTGATTCCTAACATGGGTTGGATGGTAGCAAGTGAAGATCGATGGTTCAGACTAGGGCTTGAACCACCGACCAACACGGCAGTCAATTCGAGTGAGTGAACAAATCACCCAAGCCGAACCGCTTGGCTACCGACCGACCGATAAAGGAGTGGATCATAGAATACTTCACAGAAGAGACACTTTAGACGTAATAGGGAATGAACTGTTTTTTACAGTGATAATTTGTGAACGTGAACATGTTAATAAAATGAAGCTAATTTGATTAAAATGTTGGCTTAACAATATGCCGAGATAATCAGCGTAATAATTTCTCACTTGCAATAGAATATCCGGTAAGTTTTGCCTTCAGAGGAGTGTCTCTTCTGTAAATTCTGTGTTCAAGCTTTGTCACAGGTGAAATTTGAATATAACAGGAAATTTCTGTCTGTTTCGAATGGATCAATAGATGAATTCGTCGGATAAACGGGTGGACTCATCGGTGAATAAAAGAACTATTATACGGGAAAAAATGTTCATCGGTGATGGTGAGGACACCGTAGAGCTTACGTAGAGTTTAAGCTCTACTGTGGTGAGGACGCTAGGTGTGCAACGACGACATCAAACGGTAAACAGCTAAATAATAAAACAGTTTGTAGAAGTCAGGTGACAGGACCTTGGCTTTAGTTTAACCGTTTGACTTAGTTCAAAATTCCCCTAATAATGATGTGAGCGTAGGCACATATTGTATTATTCAGAGGTGTTTTCTGGCGTTTAATCGTATTCAGCGTGTATTAAAAAACAATTCGAAGTTACGTCATTAATAAAAGATCCGCCAGAATGGAATGATTCAATTTGTGTCAGATGTTAAATTCGATAAAAAAACAAATTTTTGAATTTTCTCTAACGTCAATTACCTATAATCGGATTTAAGTAATAATTTATTTTGGATATCCTTACAAAGTATTTGATGAAAAGTTTTCAGCGCTTTATAAACTATAACGGATAAATAAACCAGAAACTGACGTAACGTAATGTCAAATTCCGTTTCAAAACCAACCTAACGTTAGTTTTGAATCATGATGAATGAATGTTTCAAACATCGACATAGTTGATGTGACGTCATCGTTTCAACGCCAGATTAATGTATTTGAATTTTGAATCACAGACGAATACGTTTTAAATACAAGAGCGCCAGCAAAAGCCTGTTTTTGAGTTTTTTGTCCTGTTTGAAAGACGTTTTTATTGTATTAATTTTATCGTCCATATTAATAAGGATTATTTATTTTTCTTAGTTGGCTATGTGTATTTATTTCTTGTATTAATTTGCCTGTAGTATTCTCAATATTTAGTCGAGGTAATGGCGTGAACAATTTACATTACTAATGACACTAATGAATAATAAACAGAGTAGTCAATCCCTACTTCCCTGCTAATATTATAAATGCGAATGTAAGTTTGTTTTTTACGGTTTCATGCGAAAATACCTTATAAAATGAAATATAATTTGAACTTCATGAAAATTCCTATTGGACTGTATTCAATCCTTTAAGACTAGGGGTAATATATTTCAATCTTTTCTTTGGTGAGAAGAGTTCCAAAACAGGGAGTGAGCCGGAGGTGTTATGATTCAGACTTCAAGCTCAGAAAAAACGTTGATTGAACTATAAGGAATTACAGCCACAATTGATTCCTAACACGGGCAAGTGAAAATCGATCGTTCAGACTAGGGCTTGAATCCCCGACCAACACGGCAGTCAATTCGAGTGAGTGAATAAAGCACCCACGTCGAACCGCCTGGCTACCGACCGCTTCACGATCATACCACATTGCAGCACTAACGCAGAAATCTTGGCCAGACATTCTTGGCTCATGGCGTCTGCTCAGGGCACACGACTCTGTGTCCTAATAATCACCTACCTCACAGTGTGGGATGTTGTCATTGGCGCGCCCTCCGAATGCATCAGGGCCTTACCAATGCAATCTTTAAGGAAATAATAATATTTCTCTTGTTGAGGAGTATACAAATATTTGAAAATATATATGGTCATATAAAGAGAATATCAATAGAAAATATTTTTCACTGAACAATTGTAACTCATTTCTGAAAAAAAGGGCAGCTTGCGAGAAAATCCGAGAACAGCAAAGGAAAGGAAAATCAAAATCATATTCCGTTTGTTGTGAACACTTAAATTTTAATTATAGGTACATAAAACATTTGCATTCAAGCAAATGTATTTTTGCGTTAACCAGCTGTCGTCCCCTTACAAACAGCAACGAAGAAGTCGAAACTCATGCACAGATCAGAAGATTCATAGTGAACACTGATCTCCCATAGTTGGGATCGAACCAACGTTCACACAGCGGTTGACTAAAAAGACCTCTCAAGCTAACCAACCAGCTACCATTTGACAAATACCTAGCTTATTTTGTTTTGAATAAAAATTAGCTGTTAGAATAAAACATATTTAATTACAAATTGAATTTTCTTCTACTTGTTTCCATAGAATGACGCCTGCCATCAATTATCCACTCATATTGACCATATTTGCTATCAAAAGTTCCCCTTTGCAAGGATTTCAACTTCAGAGTAAACCTGGGTCCCAATTCCTTTAGTCTAGCTTTCTTTCCTTCAGAATCAAAGCCATACCTACAAAAAATATATTCAAGAACGAATCAAGCAAACAAATCACTATAAGAGTTTAAATTCAGTGCTTTTACTTATAAAATTCAGATATACCTGTAATGACGAAAGAAGATAAAGTCTCGTTGATTGTGAAAAGTAACAGCCCTCTGCCCAACAAATTCTGGCTCATAATGGAACAGAGACCCTAACATTCGACCTACAGTGAGTCCAAGCCTGGTAGCAAAATTATTGAGAATAACTTCAGGTCGGTGTGCAGTTATGTCTTTGTGATTTTTCCTCAGTTCTGTAGTTATTTTTACATTGCTAACTCTGAAGTGAGCAGTTGGACCATTTGGAAGATGGATGACAAGTAGACCATCAGGTTCCTTTCTATGTTCATTGATGACTAGAATGTCAGTGTATTCCTTCTTGATAGCACTTTTGACGATTTTTTTAACTCCACTTCTATTTCTATAAAGTGACACTGAATTGGGTATGATTCTTGTCAATTCTCGTCCAAAAATTCTAGTTTTCTGAAAATAAAGAAAATCTTTATATACCAACTGAATCTGATCAATTAACTCGAAATATACCAGTAGAATTTTCATTAAAAGGTTTGACAAAAAAATAAAAGAAGAAAGCAATCAAGTACAAAATAAACTCTAAGTTTCAGATACGAACTGGAAAAAAAAACCCTCTTGAAACAAATACTTACTCAGACATTTTTATAATTCATGACTATTCCGTTTTATTCACAAAATATAATTGCATAACGGATTTTGTTGGTTATCTACTCAAATTCATCATGTTGATTCAAAAATAAGTTCAAATTATGAATGTTTATGGCAGATGAATTAACCTAATGTTGTTTTCGATGTCAGTACATTCAGAAACGTCACACCATTCAGTTGTTCTGATCAGTTCATACATAGCTGGAAAGTTTGCTTTGCGAAAATTAAATTGCTTAATAGCAAAGTCATTGATATGAGGAGTACGACAGTTCAATGAAATAGAAAGTGTAGGATGATGAACGTCTATGTTAACAAAAGGTTGATCACATTTCGAGACGATACAATCGTTACAGTTGGTTATAACTAGATTCAGTTTGCAATTATTAATATTCGTTATCGAGTTGTACTTTTGAGATTCAGTTGCTTGCATGAAGTTGAGGATGTACTCAAAATTGGTATCAGTAAAGTCTATATCATATTTAGGGATATTTAAGTCACCAATTAATAGAAAATTCCCGTTAGTAACACAATCAGAGATCTCCAGAAAATCGAATAATGCTTCATAGTGAATATTGGAGCAACAAGGGGGTATATAAAATAATATTCAAAGTAAAGCTGCCAAGTACTAATTTAGAACCTACAATATCAACTTCAGGAAGTGTGTCTCTTAGATCCAAAAACGAAATTGGTAGCAACCGATAGTTATCTTTGGACGCCAACAGGACACCACCTCCTTTAGTAATATTATTGGTTACTAGATCTCGATCACATCGGAATACATTATACATTGATGGGAAGATTTCTTGATTAAACACATCGTCCTGAGAAGATTAGTCTCTGATAGGCAGACCACATCCATTTCACCACTGGATGCGGAATTATAAAAGGCGGTTGTTTTTGTTTTTAATCCTTAACATTCTGGTAGTATATGGAGAGACTATGCGAGTTGTAGCTGGGTACCTCATCTAGTTTAAATTAACGCTTTTTGGAAATCCATTGAAGTATTTAATAATGTTATTTTTTCTTTCATTCAGTTGCTGGCGTAGCTCTCTGTAGTGTTGAATTAATCTTGAAGTTATCATTCTTTAAATTTTTTGAGTTCCTAATGCATGCCACTACTGAGTCCTCATTCTCTACGGTTGGTTCTATGGGCATCGTATTTTCCTAGATGCATGGGTCGAAGAAAATCGGTGTTCATTTGTGGGTTCACGCTTTTTATGACCTTGGACACAGCGTTCAATTCTACAATGACTCGATTTTCCTTAGGTTGAGCGGAGTCTTGTTCGGAAATGCCAAAAATAACAAGGTTGCATTTCCTGGCATTTCTTTCATGGATTTCTTGAACGATGTCTTCAAACACACTTGTAAGGATATAATCACTGCTTTCAAAGAATTAATATCGGCGCCAATACTTTCGCATTGAACGCAAGTCCAAGACAGTGACTTTTTGGCTTTGATTGTGCGAGTTTCAGAGGAAGAAAGACCGGCGCATGTATTACAGAATACGCTCTTGCATATGCAGCAAGTGAGCTTTAAATGTGGTTCGGCTGCTTTCTGACAATTTTTACAACTATCCATTATCCCATTCAACTGTGACGCCTATGTGGGCTACTGATATTTGGTAAATCGAGGTGAAGTGAGGTTACCTTGTATATCACAAGATTGTAGTAACAGGATGATACGCACTAATTGATAAAAACTAATCATTGTGTGCACACACTGTAACCTGCCTCTGGTAGGGTACACCTTTGGTAGACTCTGATGTGGCTAATTATTGCAAGCAATTTACAACTTAGTACCAGTACACTGAATCAATTTTAGATATAATTCAGTTTTCACTAACTCAAAACTTGAAACTAATTTTTATTTTCACAAAGTTATTCACGGTACTTTTACTGTTGTTTTGATGCGAAATTTGAAAATTTTCTTCCGTAAAAAACCACTAAATCTTTAGTTTCTGTCGGGATAACGGCGATGCATGTGTAAACTTATTTACAGATGAGGCACAATAATATGAGCCGAACTGAAAAATATCAATGTGGAATTGTCAACAAACAGGTTTAAGATGTGTTTGTTTCTTTCTCGTGCTCCCTTATGGTCGAAAAGTACGGCCATAGCATAGCATATGGAAATAGCATATATATTTATGAAACTGTAAGATGCAAATCATATAAAGGAGGGATTCCAAGGTCGATCCTTAGGACACATCTCTTTTTATAATCATAGGATTCCCTTGAAATTAAAAAACTGAACTCTTTCAGACAAATATTGCTTGAATACTTCCACGGCAGCATCTGAAAACCCTATGAAATGTAAAATAGCAAGTATGAGTATGTGGTTAATTTTGTCGAAGGCCTTGGAGTAACAATACAAATACTTCATCACTCACTTTCAACAAAGCTGTGCAAAAATAAGATTGGTTGCTCAGTAAAATTGAAAATTCATCAAGATGGAAACGAATTTGCTTGTCCACTATTACAAAATGCCTACTGGACCTGAATCATCCAATTCAGTAGGCTTATAATTCTCTGAAGAACAAATTATATTGGATTTTTTTCCAAATTTCAGGAAATACTTTGTTCTGAATATAAAAATTGAATATGTTCCCTAGATAGAGCAGAATGGACAACAGTATAAAATAATCTTGATATAGCACTTGATTTTATGAACAGAAGCCTCTCAAATATTAGCATTTCATTGATTAATGTGATTCTACCCAAATCAAAAAACTATCTAAATACAAGCCAATAAATACCATCAATAATCTACAACTTATTTTGAGAATGCTTTCCAAAAAGAAAATTATGTTCATTTTGACCAAAATCAATATGAGTCTGTCAATAATTGGTACAGAAACTTTTTCAAAAATATCCCAATGCAAAATGATCAAGAAATAGATGAAGATTTATATTATATCATCAGTGAGGGAAAAAATACAGCCCCAGGAATAGACAATATATCAAGGAGAATAGTACAAGCCCTAGAATGAGACATACCTAAACATATCATCTCCATCTACGAATATTGTTTGAACAACCATTACTATCCTACAGCCTGGAAACAAGGATTAATAATTGCCATTCCAAAGCCCAATACTGACCATTCACAGACCTGCAACTACAGACCCATTACTCTTCTTCCAGTATTAGGAAAAAACTTTGAAAAAATCATCAAATATCAACTCAGTGAACATATCAATATACCGATGTACCAATTTGGTTTTAGAGAATATAGAAATACAACCCACTCTTTAGTAATTGTAACATCTAACGTACAAACAGCACGCATGACCAACTTACACTCTGTGGTACTATTTTTGGATACCAATAAAGCTTTTGATAGCGTTTGGTATGAAGGAATGTTATATAAACTTCAGGAATTGAACACCCCTATCCATCTTCTCTGTATAATAAATAATATTTTGAGAACAGATCCCTCACCGTCAGAGTCAGAAATTCATTCTCCAAAAAATTTGCTCCCCAACAAGGAGTTCCACAAGGCTCTCCGTTATCTCCAATTCTCTATAATATAAACAGCCATGATATATACAATTACAACTTGGAAGACAAGAATGAATTTAATGAAAACCTTTACATCTTACAGTATGCAGATGACACTGCCTTAGTTTCACTCAACCGCACGCTAGCACTCACAATAGAGGAACTGCAAAATCTCATCGACAGAACAACGCTCTGGTTCAATAAATGGAGTCTGACATCAAACCCGGAAAAATCACCATTCATCATTTTTCATTACAACCCTTCAGAGATGCTATTATCAATAAACATCAACAAAGAAATGGTAAGAAGCAGGCAATCAGTAAAATACTTGGGAGTTGGTCGATGGCCCTTTGGTATTCACCAATAAATGACATTTATTAATTTTGTGAATCTACCGACTTCAGGAAGCTTTCCAGAAGGGAAGAGCTATAAAGTTTTGTTAACAAGCAATTCTTGACTGTTGAAAGTTATTTCGCTCAAATAAACTTTGAAAAATTTTCAATATTTGTGGGACTCTGAATTAATCTCATGTACACCAGTACAATTGAAAATTTCAGATAGTTATAATATCATCACCATTCAATCAATTTGTAATAAAACTTTATAACGAGAAATTGTTTAACTGCCTTCTTGAAAGTTGAAATAGCTGTATAGTGTACTTTTAGAAGGAAGAAACTTTTTTGAAGCTTCGAAATAGATGAACATTTCAATCTAGCAGACCACTATTATAATATTCATGCAGTCATTGTTCACTGTGGTTCTGGCATTGAATTTGGTCATTATTACGCCTTGGTCAAAGACGAAACGGACTGGTTTAAGTTTGATGGTAGTCGGGTCACGAAGTGTTCTGGCGATGTATTGAATCTATTGGAGCCCCTAGAGACACCCTACATTTTGTTTTATGAGAGAGAAAAGATTGGCAGATCAAGATCTTCAGATGATGTGGTGCTGCAGGTTTTTCTGGGTTTTCCTGCAGCTGAAAAAGCAAATGCCACTGGAATCAATGAAGTCACCCCAGAGCACCGATTAATTTTTATTGTTGTTTTTATTTTTATCGTTTTATAGTTTCACAAATAAAAAGTGGTATTAAATCTATTACGCTGTTTAGTAAAACATACTGAAAGTACAAAGACGATAGTTGATGCTGAGGACAAAGTTGTTCATCACCATAACATAGTAAAAATTTCCTGAATAAATTTATAGAATTCCACAACTTTCTGTTATCAAATTACTTTTGACTCCTAAGTGAAAGCAATTCTACAAACCTTCATGGGATTATCAGCATATGTTATTAAAACTTTCGGTTCATAAGACTGTTTATAATATTCACTAAATTCATCTTGATCCAAATCCTCTCGAACTAAGTCATTCTCCTCACCATCCAAATCAGTGATGATAGTTTCATCTTTCTCCCTCAAACTTTCAATTGTATGTGGCGTTTTTTTTGGGATACCTTCTGTTTCACGTACTTTCTTAGCTTCTTTCTTTGCCTACAATAATAAGTTCTTGTTTGAGAAGTGAATTATAATTAAAATTTCTGGTCTAACCTTTTTGACTTGTTTTTTTGCTTTTTGGTACTGTTGGTTTCTGACATGCTTATTCCTAATATTTGCGAATTTAGATTCTCTTGGAAACATCACTTCTCCACTGTTGGAAGGTTTGATACTTTCCTCTTCTAATTTGACTTTTTTGAAATCTTCATTTTCATCTGAAGACATTTTGACCTACAAATGTATAGGAAAAGATTACTTTATCTATCTTGAAAACATGAGTATTTCAGTATTTACCTTCAGTTTCTATAAATTAGAACTTGAACAATCAATTTCAAAAACAAGTTTAGTCAAAGTTAGGTTAGGCACATGTTTTCTTCTTTATTTCCGTTTATTGGCCTTAGTTTTAGGTTGTTGAAGTTATTTATTTATGCTCAATGGGGAAAATTTCTGTCTAAATAATCAATATGGAATCTCAAACAGTGTAAACATTTCTCTGAAGATCTTTAGATTATTGAAATTCGAAAATAGTCTACAATTCAAATTGATCTGGAATATGTTGATTTTTTTCAAATTCAGTTTACATTTTCTATGTTCTGTTTTATTATTCATGAGTAATGAAAACTGACCACAGCTTTCGAATTGAATTATTTCTCCCATTACGGTCGTTTGATGTATTACATCTATTCGAATGGTTCACCATGGAACAAACTACTAGAGTACAAGTGATAATTATGTTGAGGCAAGAAACTGTTAATAGACTTTTGTTGTAGAATAATTTTATGAAAGGTTCAGTTGGAAATTATTTTTCGTACCAACCTCCAACTTGCTAACTTGAAAGCGGGACTCTGTTATAGACATCAGGCGATCTATTTTCAGCATCCTCCCAACGTAAGATTACTGCAAATAATAACGTCACTGTTCCTAGATATCAATCAATGGCAATATCAGACGTTTTTTATAAGAAATTGAACACTGACTGCTAGTAGAATTTATTTACAACCATTCGTGAAGGATAATGTCATTTGTTAATAACAGTGACCTGTCGTTAGACTATTACAATCTGAACATACATCTTCATGAAGAGTTATCAAACAATTATCTTTATGTAATTTGAAAATAGAGTTCCCAAGCAGCTATTCTTGAATCATCTTTCGCAATATACGAACAGGTGACGTCACAGTGAATGGTTCCTGAAAAATTCGTACCCATTGTTGAAATACTAATAATGGAGGAGAAAAAAGGAGCGTATCGGGGCTAACATTCAGAACTCTGTGATTGAGGTGTATAAATGCTTCGGATGATCATAGCCTGACGTCAAGAATATAGATTTAAGGAGCCGTTCGCATAAAGAACCACTTATACTTATAAATAAGGCCCCTGGGAGCTTGGATTATTGTTGTTAATTGTATTTACTACAATGACTGCAGTTTACGTTGGGTTATTGGACTGATTTTGGTTGGTTTAGTTTGATTCATTCAAAGAACCATAGTATTAAGATACTTTATACTGTGATAAAACATTTTATATATTTTTGTCCGATTTCTCTATTCGGAACGTGTCCTTAGACATCGACATTCTCAACTTTCTATAGGTATCTATCCATATTTAGTAACATTTCATAGTTCACTTCACGGGGTTAAGTATTTCCCCAAGAGATGGCGAAACTTATTTTTTGTTCCGTTTTTCAAAAACATTGAAAAACTTTAAAAGTATTGTGAGGTTATGAGTAATTTATGTCAATCTGCAAATTTTTAAACAATTCAAAATTGTTTGTATTTATTGAAATTACCACAAACTTTCGTGACTGGATGTGTTTATTCGGGTGTAAAATTATTAAAGTGCGGTGTTTTCTACAATGACCTTTAAAGTGTTTCTTCTGGATTCGTGATCTATAAACTGGATATTTGAGATCAATGAGAGAAAACTTCTCCGGATCAGTTGAGAGGTGAGTTTCGTATATGTCGATCAACATATAATGATTTCGAGCGTCTCCAAATTCTGGCTCAGAAAAGTTCATTTTTTGAGGATAGGGGCAAGTGGAGCAGTTCAATGATAACTACTTCGATAACTTCGATAACTACTTTGTTATTTATTGGTATATTTTAAGTTCCATTAAATGCTTACTGTAATTCCACCATTTACCTAAGTACACTAAAAAACAGGTGAAGTACGTGAATAAAATAAAGAGCCTTTTGTCTCTTCTAATATTTTCAGTTAGACAATTCTCATTTTTTCGGATAGTCAGATAAATATTCGTAAACAAATTGAAACATTTTACAAACTCCAATAAGGGTACACTAAATAAATAAGTAGTTTTTCGGTGAACAGTGACGTTATTTCCTTTTCGAAAAATAGCTACCAACATTATTTTCGTCATAATTTGACAGAATTGACTTAAAAAAAAATACAGAACAGAATCTTGATTTTGAAGAAGCATTTTTCACCCCTAAAAAGGGGGTAATGAGTGCTCCTTCTCGGCTAATTCAGGTTAATAGTTGATGCACGGAAAATTCGTGAATCAACTATTAACCAAGATGTAAAGAGAGGGCAAGGTGTTACCACCTCGTTTATATGAGCTACGGAAAATTCACAAGATGGATGTTCCACCAAGGCCGATCGTCAGTGCTATAGTGGCGTATGAGATCGCCACAGGAAAGAAACGGAAATATTTTTTCTGAAATATCCCTTTGTGAAGTAGAGATCTAAATATAGATATAGACTATAGACGGTAAAATCTGAAAAAAATTCTCTCGGATATTCATGTGCATGTGACACGTCGAAAAATCTATACTCGTGTTTTGATGTAACGTTTCCGAAAAATTATTTCCGTTTCTATCGTGTGTATCCGTGGTGTCACCCACAAATTCAATTCAAACGCTTAGCAAAAATATGGTAAATAGTGTATTGAAAAAGACTAAAATGAGCAGAAAATTACTGCAATTTCAAAATGGCCAAAAACAGAAAGATTTCGATTCTGTTTGACCAGCTCAACGGTAAAGGAAGGGTAACCCTCTGATGAAAAAAACAAAAACAACAACACATGAAAAGTCGACGATGGATTTGGATAGGAGCCTAAAATGAGACTATAATTCTCAATATATTTCTATGTCACCCACATTCAATGAATATTATCGAACAATATTTCCCTACCGTGTGTCTGAGTTAATCACCCACATATTCAATTCAAACGAGAAGCGTAACGAGCGTAAAACTATTTCAAGTTCGAAGTTTTCGAAATGTTAAGGATTTCAGTTTGGTTCTGTCCGCTGAACGTAATGCTAGGCATAACCCACTGATTAAAAAAAACACCTTATGGAAAGTCAATATAATTCTACCAGCTAAAGCTAGAAGAACTCACTAGTTAAAAAAAAACAACAACCGGAAAGTCGGTGATGGGGAGGTCATAGCCTGAAGTTCTTTATATATTTCTATTTCTCCCACAGTGCAAGAATGTTTTCCAACAAAAATTTTCGCCTCTATCGTGTGTGTTTGAGGTAATCACGCAAATATTTAATTCAAATGTGTCGCCCTAAGGTAAGGAAGGAGCCCAAAGTCAAACAGTATTTCAAGATGAAAATTTACAAAAGGTGGAGGATTTCTATTAGGTTCAGCCAGCTTAACGTTAAAGCTAACAGAACCAATTTACTGAAAAAAACAACAATAAATGAACAGTCGGCAGTGGAGGGAACAGAAACCTGAAATGTACTTTAGATCGTCAATATATTTATATCTTTCCCACACTGGAGAAATTTTTACAAAACAAATCCGCTTCTACCACTTCTGCCTGAGATAGGCATCCATTTCAATCGAGAAACAAAAAGGGGTTCAATAGCGTAATGAAGATCAAAAGCGTTTTGCAAAATTGAAATTTGTGAAAATGAAGTATATTCATTTGGTTCTGCCAACTTAACAGTAAAGCTACCAGAATACATTGATTTGGACAATAACCTAAAATGAGCCTTAAATTCTCAATATATATCCATTCCTCCCACACTTTAATAATTTTTACAATATATTATTACAGCTTCTACCACGTGTAGTTGTCCAAAAGAGTAATAAAGGAACATAAAATGAGCCTAAAATTATTGAGAGATGAAAATTCAAAATAATTAAAGGAATTCGATTTGGTTCTGCCAGCAAAGCTAGGAGGTACCCTCTTTTAAAAAAAACAACACATTGAAAGTCGTCGATGAGAGTCATAGAAGCCTAAAATGAGCATACAATTCTCGATATATTGTTACTTTTTCCCCGTGGGTTTGCAAATAATTAACTACACTGTACAATTAAACTTGACTTCATTTCGCTGCTACACTGACAATCTGACAATACAACACAAACACTTCATTTGAAACTTCAAACTTCATCTACGTCATTTCGTAATGCCCTGTCAACTAGACTTTCCGATATGCGCGTAGGTAGTGTTTATATATGATAATTGAAGTCTCTCGAAGCCGATAGGGAAGTCGCTAGAAGTTTCTCGAAGTGACGCGGCGTGTATATAGAACAATCGAGTCGGGTTGAGCGCGATCTCAGCCAAGTCACAAACGATTTACGACAACCAGCGGTGGCAGGCGTTATTTTTTTCAGGGAATAATTTACAACAATATTTTTATTTTACGCATAGTTGAAGAATGTTTTGAAAAAATCATTTCCGCTTCAATTCCGTGTATCTGAGGTAATCAACCAAATATTAAATTCAAACGGGAAGCAAAAAATGTTAATATCATAATGAAGGAGCCTAAATTGAGTAAAAAATTATTGTAAGTTCAAATTTTCCAAAAAGTGAAGTATTTTGATTTGGTTCTGCCAGCTCAACAGTAAAGCTAGCAGAATTTACTGACTAAAAAAATAACAACATGTAGCCTGATTCAACTAAATGTTCTTTTCTGTGGATATCTCAGTTGAAGGAAGAACAGAAAGGTCATGAATAGAGTGTAGAATTAGCCTTTAATTAGCCTAAAAATATGACCCAAAAATAAATTCGAAGAATCATAGTGGCTCTGCTAGCTTAAGAAAGGTGAATTACCAGTGATAATTTTTACATAAATCTGGAAAAAGTCTGGAAACCGCACGGTTTCAAAATACTCAAGACAAAAAATCGTATATAATATCATTATAGTGTGATTAGAACCTTATTTTTTTGTGCTTTTCATTGAAGAGAAGGTAAGTATCACCTCTTACAAAATCAAATGTTACTTGATTTGATGTCGATAACTCTCAGACTATTCGTTGTCTGTTCAAAAATTAAGATGAATTTTCATTTTTCTCAAATATTCATTTATTCATAAACTATTTTGACAAAATGGTTAAGGCTTTCGTGGCCGAGGTTTTCAGTGTCACTATTTTTCGGGTTCGAAGGCGGTGTATTTTGGGAATTTATTCCTGATGTTTCGCTGCCGC